GATCTTGGCTTCTCGTTAGTCGTGGCTACTAGATCCACCTTCAGATGACACCTACCATCATTCCTTCATAGGATCCACACTCGATCCACCCGTACATAGTGTATCCCATATCCACCTAAGTGAACCCAGGTAAGGGTGGATCCGAGATATGTCTTGGTGGATCTTGCCTTCCCGTACATCACTCATACCAGATCCATCGTCGTCTCATACGGGGTGCTGCTCGTCATGTGTGACGGGGTCACACAGCACCTTGCGCTAGAGGAAGTTATCTTCCGAGAGTATACGAACTCTCAGTGAACGGCCCTCTTTATTCAAAAGAGAGCGAAGTGACCTAATTAAGGTAGAATGTAAACTGAGTATATTTATAGGTAGATTAAGTTTGGATTTAATACAAACTATAAGTCACCTAGTGAAATGCAATGTCGTTAACCAATGGTTGGCTTTGAACGACCTTGGTACTTTGTACCAAATGTCCCGGAGTATGACGTGTCATACTTCTGAAGTGTGACGTGTCACACGTTATGTAACCAGGGTACACTTAGGGCTACGTACCCCGTTACATCCTCCCCCACTTAGGTTCGGTTTACCGACCAATCAAAATGAAGAGGTGTTCGTCACAAACTCTCATTCTCAAAGTCGAAAACCATCGACTTGGCCGCGCGAGCGCGGTGGAGGCTCACTTCACAGTTAGAGCCTCAAGCAGCAACCTGTGCGCTCTTCGTCTAGGTCTCCAATTCGACCGTTACCATGCCTCGTGGCACTGCAAAGAGCGGTGCTAAGACACGCTCCAAGGCTGCTGCCGGTAAGGCGCAAGCCAAGAGCACTAAGCCTCACGGCAAAGGCTCGACACTCAAGGAGGATACTCAGGTGGCCTCCGAGGCGATCGGTTCCTCGGGTGACGCGGCTGTGGGCAAGCGGGCAAGCAAGCGCCGCAGTCCGTCGCCCTCGGCCTCAGACAATCGTCCGAACCCTCGGTTCGTGGAACGTGAGTTCAACTCTGGCAGTGAGGACGATGCCGAGTCCGAGAGCACGCACGATGCTCCTGCGGGCTCTGTGGGAGGGCACAGCCCAGTGCCCAGTGAGCACAAAGATGACAGCGTGCAGTCGCTCGCTAGTGATCAAGATGATCACAGTCCCAGAACGTCTGTGCGCTCTGAGAGTCCGGCCGTCAAGGCTAAGGGCGCTCCCAAAGCCGGTGGCGATGAGGAAGAGAATCCTCGCAAACGTCTCTCGCTTGCCGAGGGTCTTGCAGGTGCTAAGGCCGCTAAAGCCGAAGGCGCCAATCCCTCAAAGAAGCGTACAGCCTCTAAGTCTCCACTCCGCGAGGAGAAGGAGACTCAACACTCCTATCAGAGTATCTTCGACTCCTCGGATGAAGAGGAGGAGAAGGAGGAAGAAGAGGAGGAGGAGGGTGCTATTGTTGAGCCCCGGGAGGTCTCGAATGACCTCGACCAGCAGCAGGAGGAATTCCAAGCTGCCCAGCGTGTGCGTGGGGGCTCGGTGGTGGCACCCGTCAGCCAGGGAGCTGACATCAACTCAATAGGGTATTGGCCTCCCGAGGAGAGCTCTGGGGCTGACCTCTTCTTAGAGATTCTCGTCGCTCCTCGTGGCCTTGTGGGTGGCCACACTTCTAAAGGCATGTATGAACGAGCCCTTGTTCAGAAAGAACAGTTGCTCGTTGACAACTTGGAGGCTGCTCGGTGTGTGCTTCTCGTGCCACACCGCATTCCCCTTAAGGACTTCACGACTTGTCGTAAGAAGCTCGAGACCCGGGGTGGTCTCTATCCTCTTTGGGGATACCCCTGGGTTATGCCCGATAACTGTCCCACGTGGAGTTCTTGTGAGGACATGTTCTGGGCATGGGTGGAGTCTCTCAAGTACTCACTCACGGAGTTACGGGAACTCCATGAAGATCAGCTGCTGTCCCGCATCCTGGACCAGCGTGATCTCCGTGTGAGGTTTGCCCACTTGATCAGCAAGCGCATGCTGCCAAGGGACATCCTGAAGCGCGCGGCTTCTAGCGCTCTCGATGAGCGCGGGTACGGAGTGTCGTCAATGTCCGTACCCCGTTCGGGCAAGAAACCCCCGGACTACTTATGAAGCTGCCGCCGCTTCTGTTCCCAGATTGCGACAGCCTTCGGGCAGTCAATCAGGAGCCGTTCAATCGGCTCCCACGAGTTCTCGGAGTGGGCATAACCCCTCCACTTCACGAGAAGCTGTCGCTTACCGCGACGCCGTTGCTCCTGGAGGATCCGCTCCACGTGGAAGTGGACCTCTCCATTCCGGTCAAGCAGGGGCGGAGGTGCCCTCGTACGAGTACGAGTACTCGGCGCCTCCCGAAAGCCACTCTCGTCCGAGTGCTTCTCCTGTGGGTCCGACACAGGGCCCTGAGGTTGATCGCCTCCGTCAACGTGTTCTTGTGCTTGAGATTGCACTTGGCCTTGGTACTGGCGGCGATGCTGCCGCCCAGGCCGGCGAGCTCGCTCGTCTTGCGGGCCGCCTGGACCTGTTGGAGCGAGAGGTCGCGAGCCTACACCTGCGGGCGGATCGCCGGGCTTCTTCGTCCGATCTGGACGAGGCCTTTCGCATGATCCGACGGATCGAGGCTTTGTTGCCACGTCCGGAGCCGCCTGCGGCACACTCCCAGACGTACGCGTATGGTGCGTACCCGGCGTACTTCGGAGAGAGGTGTCGGTTGTCCAAGTGTGTTTATAACAGACAGCAAACGGATGCGTTCATGTCATTATTTTACCGAGCTGTTGAATCATCGACAGAGGCAGAGTTCGAGATAAACCGAGGCGAGCTGCGCGCTCTGAGCGTTCCTCTTTCACGTTACTTGGATCAACACTGGTGGAAGTACAAGAAACACATTGTACGAGCGTGGACGGATCAGTACCAACACTTTGGTATCAGAGACACTTCATTCGTCGAAGGAACGCACGCTAAGTGTAAAACTTGTTGCGTGGAGGTATGGCGACTGTTTACGAGTGTGTAGGAGTTTGCTGGCTTCGGTGGAGCTCTGGCGAGACATCTTAAACTGCGACTTCTGGGCTTCAACGGAAACTGCGTTAGCGAGTTTACATATCTTCTCCAAGGGCAATCGATTGGCAGGCGGTGTGTTTGCGTAAATTTCAGTGTGGGGCTTCTTACTAAAAACGCACGCGCTGTGGGAGGATGCAACGTGCATTCGTCCTATAATAGACTGGATCGTAGTGAATGTTCTGGCATAGACCGAGCTGTGCATGGACTCCCTTGCATTCATGAACTCATGGAGATCACCGCCTCTAATGGAGAACGAATTTTACAACCTAGTGATTTTGATTTGCACTGGTATGCACTGGTGGATTAATCGTGAGCAAGCTACTACCTTTCAACCTCGAATTCAAGAACCAGCGTTCAACGAAGAAGAATCAATGAGTAGGCGACAACGACGTTGGTCTAGGAGAAGCACCACTCTTCCTTACAACACACGAAGAGATCCAGTATTTTTGAGAGGGTAGACCTTAACAACCCAGCTTCACCCCCAGCATCAAGTCGTGATCGGTATCAAAACGCAGAGACAACAGTGTCTGTTCTCAATCCTGTATCAACTCTCCCCGTGGCGGATGTACAAGATCCATCGGTTTTCCATACGAGTATTGTGCCTCCGCGATTCTGGGGATATGCAAGATGGAGTTAAATAGTAAGTGTTTGTTAGTTTAACTTTCGTAATTACCATCGTTATAATTTAACAAAGCGCCCATTCTTCATTGAAAATTATCATGGAATGCTGTTTTAATCTGCCTTACGCTTCTTGTTGCATCCCCGAAAAGTGTGAGATCTCAGTGATCCACTCTTAGCGAGCGTCTTCAAACAAAGGGGACACGTCCGTTCTCCTTCCTTGTTGTCCGTCCGGCGTCTGGTCTCTTCGTTCTTGGCTGCTTCAGGATTCCTAGTACAGAAACGGCGATGAGAACGCATCGCTGCAGAGTCTCCATACTCGATTCCGCAGTACTGGTACGAGTAGGTCTTGGGCAACACGCTGTTTACCACATCCGGTTCCCATTTTTAGTCCGCGAAATGACAGGTAGCAGTGGATCCGGTGGCTCACGGCATCATAGGGCATTCCGTTATGGATAAGGTCCCCACGGAAAATGATGCAGAAACCCACTGGAATTTGCACCAAGCGAGATTTGGTGTCGTCGCGCGCAGTGAAGCAGCCATCGTAGACTTGTTCCTTCCTCCAAAGCGAGAACCATACTTGCCGGGACACGCGTAGACTTGTTATTGGAAGCTTCAGTGATGACAGATTCAGGATAGTCTTGATGCGCTTCTTGCTCCTCTCCTCCTGGCGCTGAGCGCAGAAAGGAGAAGACTGTAGGAAGCCACGCCGGGTCCAGACAAGCAGTCACAGCGCTAATGGCTACTCGCAGTAAACCGATAGAAGGAGACCGAGCGTGAACACGGGACTGTTCGCGGTGTGTGTCGTAATTATCATCACTCACGTCCTCGAAAACGGGGGTGTACGTGCGGGTTTTTGCTTCATCCAGTAAGGCATTAAGCGTATCCGTAGACAATCCGAGGTATGCTACTAGGTAGCCGCAGGCAGGGAGTGTTGGCTTGGGCGCCATTTTGAAAGTGCAACGGACACGCCTATTTGCAACGGACACATCTCTAAACAA